TTGATTTGTGCCGCGGAAAGGCGCTTGTGAGCGCGCTTCACCTGGTGCGCAACGTACGGTGGGGTCGTTAACACCTTCGAGAAAAGGGAAACCAGTGTGCAGGCTTTTATACCTGCATTTCATTTGGCCGTGGACAACCCAAGGTAGCGGAGAGTGTTTTGTTGATTTTCTGCTCGTTGCGAGCATAATTTTCCAAAGTGTCCTTGAATTTCGCTCCTTCAATCAGGCTTAGAAATGATCACAATGCAAATAATTAGCTGATTTCCTTTGCTTTAAAATACAGCCACGTATATTTATGCAGGAAATTGTATGTTTAGTAGAAGACGCATGTTGGCTTGGACCAGTTTTCACTTATTTAAATAATGGAATTTAGTGTGTGCATTATTCATGTTGTGCATGTGCAAGCATTCATTGAAAACATGTTAGCAGCTTTGGGTTTGTGATTGCCATTTTTAGAGGCATTTGTTTTGCTTTGGCACTAGATTAAAAATGTAGTGCACACATTAGGAACATCTTTGTTTGTGTTATCTGCTAACGGAGGGCTCCGATCACATGGATATGATTACATGCACACGTGTGTTATGACTGTGTATCTTGGTGTGTTTATGTTTTTAACTATCTTGGTGTGCATGTCAGTTAAGTATATCTTGGTGTGTGTGTGTCTTCAAATGCATGTATATATGCGTTTGGGAATATAGTTCATTAATGTGTGGTTGGGGCATGCAAGCTTGTGTCCTGTCGTTGTGGTGTGGGCGTTTGGGTTTACAAAAAATATACACAAAGCCAGCCTCCCATTGATACTACCAGTATTGTGATTGGTATCCGGTCAGATAATGAACTTGATTTCTACTCGATTCCAAGCCCACATAAAAAAAAAAAATTAGTCTGTACGGCTGCAAACCCATTCACCCGTTACGTTAGGAAGGGCAGCGTACTTTTCTTTGAATGCGACAGATTGCGGCCTTGTTGAGACCTCCAAAGTGTGCTGGGACTCTCGAGACTGAAGTGAATCCTTAAAAAAAAGTCTTCTCGTTTTTGACTGACGTGGAGGACTGGGCATTTCTTCCACGGAGTGCCGATCGCTGTGGACTTTGAGCAGTACTAATGAGAAATGGTGTTTCGTGAGGACAAATCCCCCGGGATGTAGTGTGTGGGACAGAATGGCCGGCCACGTATGCGTCTGTCCCATGGTTTCGCCGGCTTGTAGGGTGGTGGTCTTTTGTTGCAGCAGAAGGAGGTGGGGGGGGAATGCAGCTGAGTGGACGGCACAGCTTTTTTGGCAGCACCTAAAGTGTCCGTTATTCAAAGATCTCAAAGCGCTTGTTGTTTTCCTAGGATGTGGCAGATAACCGATTCTATCCATCCAGTTACAAATCAACAGCAGCTCATTACCTACCCCGAGTTGTGATGAAATGTGGACCCTGCTGTTTGCGTATGTTTTTTCCCCCCACCCCCTGGCGTTATTGGATCTGGATTGGTTATTTATTATTTTTTCCTGCTTTTAAGAAATCTGTTCTGAGTAGCCCAAGCCTCATCTGTGTATTTATTCAAGCAGTATTTTTTTAAAGGGTTGATAAAAATGAATTGGCAGCTTTGTGGTGTTTCATAATAGATCCAAAAATAAATAAGGAGAGGTTGTTTTTGTGAATCGGTGTGCGTGCAAGAGGGAGCATCCCTGTATGTCATGTCACGTGCCACGTGTAGAGGGGTCGTGTGAAATTTCTCAACGCAAAATGCGCCTTTATTTGCGCTTGTGATAATTGACATTATTCATTGTGAAAGCAGTGTTGTAGCCGAGGATGAAATTGTAAAACAGATGCTGTATTATTCAATATCCCTATGCAGGTGTAGTAAAAAAATACCTTGTAAAAAAAAAGGAAATCAGGCCAGCTATGCTGCTCTCTGTCCTTGTGAGAATATGGTATTGAAGAGAAAGAGATGAAGGGGGAGCAGCATATTCGAGTGGGCACCAGGAATTAAAATACAAATTTGATGTGATTTTATTTTACAATGTAATTAGTTCATCAAAACTCCTGAGTCAACCGTACATTGCGTGAATTAGATTTAATACGCTCTTTCTTTTCCATCGGTAGCTTCCATTCCTTTCTTTCTCTGGTCATGGAGGTCGCTTCATGTAGCGTCCTCTTCCTCGTTAAATCCTCGGCAGTCTGACCACCAATTGTGTGGACGGACGGCCTGTGCGCTAGTAGCTTTTTCCACACGGATGTTAAAAATCACTAATCGTAATTTGTTGGCCTCCAATCTTTCCAAACCAAGAACATTGTCCGCATCTTTGTATATTGTTCACAAAAGTATTCTTCCGACCTTGCTTTTTATCTTGGGTTTCATTTTGTATGGAATGAGGCTTAATACAGAAAGGAAATGTGTGGGTACATGGTTGTGTTTGTCAAGGTGTAATCTTATGGAAACTGCGTAGGTGGGTTGTTGGGAAGCTATGTGTCTGGTTGATGATATTAGTACATCCCTTTCCTGTTGCTTAGCATTATGCAAATAACTCTTTCCACTGCTCATAAGCACATAATGACGTCATGAAATAAGTAATTTAATTTTAAATCCCACACAAAACGGATGCGGAAGCTGACTCGGATGAAAGACTGAAGCTGAATTTGATCAAGAGCTTCTAGTGTATGCGAGTATTTGTTTTATGAATGGTATGAAGGAAAGGATACTTTGAGGACAGTGGTGCTGACAAGTGCACATGCTGCCATTATTTTTTTCTCGATGCTTTATTATTTATCTGGGTCCAGTTGTATATTGTTCTATAACCTTGTCTATAAACGCTTCGGTAGGACACTGACTACTGGTGGCCACTTGTATCATGAGCGTTGCCTGGCAGTTTACTGACCATGTCACCTGGTCGTGATTTTTTTCCCCTTTCTTTTACTAATCCACTTAGTCAATGGATCCATGGCAGATTTTACACATTTCTCTCACCCCCCGTGACTTTTGTGGGTTTGGTGGGAAGACAGCAGTGGTCACCCGAATTTCACCAAATCCCCATAAATATGTCTGATCTCATTAGATCTCCGAAGCTGTACACGGTTGAGCTTGATTAATACTTGGACGACACGCCTGCCTGGGGATACCAGGTGCCGTAGGCTTGGGGCTGCAAGGTGGCCTGGAGATGGCAGCCCAGCAATAGTTGCTTGAATTTAAGACGTGCAGATCTTTAAATGTTACCCTATCGTACGCTTGATATTTCTCGAGATACTCCGGCTTCCTCCCACAAAGCCACTCATGAACTGAATTGGCCAGCCATTGTAATGCAGCACCCTTCTCAAAAAAATACTCTTTGAGACTCAGTGGGGCTTTCCTGGATAAATAAACAACATTATTGTTATCTCCAAATATGGCAAGGCCATGATGAAATATGCATCAAATGCGCAACGCTATGGGAAAACGCCACGGTATCTTGCAAATCCCCATGGAGAGGGCATATTTGCACAGGTGTGGATTCTTTCCTCGGACCTGTCTCGACGGTCGTGGAGGTGGGCACACACACAGCGGGGTGCAGAAGGCAGGCGGCGGTGAGAAGCCCGAGAAGGGCAGCGCAGCGCCGAGCGGGAGCAGAGGTGGAACGAGTCAAACGCGCCGTGAACTTGACGACCGCCAGAGGCGCCGTGCGCACTTGGCAGCTCGCGACGACTGCTCCATTAATTTGGTTTCACGGCGCATATGCACGGCGTTGCACGTGATTAATGCTGCTCTGATATGTGCCGTGTTCGGTTCGCCGGACGGGTGAGAGAGAATACATCTGGAAAATAGGTGAGGATGAGTAACGTTCGTTAGGCACTCGCCACTTTGGCTGTGACACGTGTAATAATAGTGATGGGTACCTTTATGATGCATGTCCATTCGTGATGTATAATTGTTACGTACGAGGCGATTATGCAGCTGATATTTGGGCACTCGCCCAGCAGTATTAATGAGTGCACCAGAGTTGGTCAATCGACAGGTCACGTGTGGTGGGGTAAGTGTGAGTACAAATGTTCCTCTCGATGGGCTCTTCAGCACTCCCTCGAGTGAAGGCCCCCTTCCGCCGGCAGTGGTGTGAGCAAGCAGTTGCAGGGCTGCACCTCTACCAAGTACAATAAACAGAACAGCGTGTAATTGAGAGGAAGTGAGAAAGGACTGTCAAGCAAAATTCTCGGATATTTTTTGCTTTAGCATGTTTTGATATGTGTGTGTATATAAATAGCTACCGTACTTGTTGAAGCGGCTCCTAATGTTTTTGTTACCGTTCATTCCACAACAGTGCTGAGACTTCCTCTCCACAATACGACGATCCGGGGCGGGGGTAATGTTTGAAGATTGAACATTCTTACAGGCGAGGCTGCACTCCACCCAGGAAGTGAACCAGAGACATCGGGCGGGCTCGCTGATAGGGCTGGCTGGTGTCGTAGCTCACCGAGTGTGCGTGCTGACACACGCTGGCGCTCACGTCGTTCCTTTGTATTTATAATCGTCGTCTTCGCGTGGCCCGCCGCAGTCGTTTTCTTTCGCCCGTGAAACAACGGCGATAATTACGGAACGCACCTCGCGTGTGCCGTGACCCGTGTGCCAGCGACGGTGTGGAGGAGCGACGTTGGCAGGTGTGGGCTTGCATGCTGCACGCGGCCTCTAGGATTTCTTGTATGTTTCGCAAATTATCCCATGGCACGCGCCTCTTATAAGCGGACAGGATTAAACAGCGTACAGTAACGTCTCACGAATAACACGTTTCAAATTATTTTAGTGTATCGGCGTTTTTGCGTAAATACAGGAAAGATGTGGGTTTATTTTTTTTTGCGCGTGCGAAATGTTCGCCATAAGAATTCGACATTATTAAGGGATTAGCAACTCCACCTGCGATCATGGACAATGAATAATATCATTAATTTTCATTCATTCCCGAACCTGTCGACGCTGACGTTTCTCCTTACCAGCCGCACACACACACACCTCTCCAATTCCCCCCCCCCCCCCCCCCCCCCCGAGTCATTGTGCAATCAGAGCAAAGAGAGAGAGAGGGGGGGGACCGACAAAAAAAAGGAACCCTAAAGCACTTTAATCAAAATGCCTGTAAAACGCGCATGCGTGCTATATATAGTGTAGGAGAGGCGTTCTTGCCAGCGAGTGAGCGGGGTGAGCAAGTTATTTATTAATTTGCAAGCGTCATTAAGTCATTCGGCAGCAAGGGCCGCGGCAAAAGCTCGCACGAGGGCACGGCCCGCACGGAGCGGACGAAAATTTGTGCCGTGGGTTGTGCCGTGCGTTACGTCCCGCTGCGCCTCTTGACCCTGCCTCGCCGTGGCGTTTGCGCCGCACCCTGCGTCTTCAACTGCCCAGCGATTCCAGGTAAATTCCCCCAGCATTGATCCTTTTGTCATTCCTCATAATTACAATAATTGATCACCGCTGCCGAGTACAGTGTTGGAGTGCGTCAATGTTTGAATTGACCTTTTTGCCGAGCGAGTGGGCAAGACTGGTTGGGTATTTAGAGCTTGGGAGGTCTGGTGGCATGGGAGGTCTGGTGGCCTGGGGGGTTGGTATGGAGCAAAGGATCAAAAGTCATGGGACATTGGTGGTGAATGTTGTAAATGATAATGTGCCACCTTCTTGTTTGCCGCACGACACTGTCCTTTGCCGCTTTCCTCAGCGGCCTGTCACACGATCCTGGCTCCACACTGAGATTTCTTTTTTAGAGGTCCGTGCCCCTCATTAAACTCTCCGTCACCTCCCTCCCTTTCTGGGTTCGCACTCTGATTACCCGATCGAGCGAGCGCGTGTGCGCGAGCATGTGCGTCGCCGGTCGTCGTTATTTAGGACGGTGACCTCACTGCTGTACCTACAGGATTCTGCTTCCCGGCACCCACATCAGGCCCTGTCCAATGGTCGTGTCGATTAAAAGAGGATGTGGTTGAATTCCATGTCTGCTTCCTCTGTGTAAGCAGCGTGCTCAGCGGTTGCCCCTGGTCAATCCGCTGTTCTACGGTGGTATTGAGGTACGACCATCGGCAGCTTCGGAGACCTCTGTGCATGTCGTTCATCGTGCTTGTGTTACGCTTGTACTCAGGACCAAATGTGTTCCTGCCAAAAGCAATACGGTTTTAGCTTTTCCTCGAAAGGTCTCTTGTTGTGGCTGATGGCTGGGTGCCAAGTTTAGAGGTAAAGAAATATTCCTCTTGATAATACAATTAAATGCCTATACAGTAGCGTTATTTTAGTTGTAATGATTTTTTTTGTTGCACAATAACGTTTGCATGTAACTTACTGTATTGTTCATTGTAAAAGACGAAAGAACAACATTAATGCAAATGCAGTTAATGTTGTACCACCACGGTGAGCAAAGTGACAGGTGAGTGAGGTTAAAGTTACGGTGGTTCATGATTTGTGATGAATGTCTCAAATATGGAGGCATTTGACTATTCATGAATACCGGCTGAAAATATGACGATTGTGTTAAACAGGTGGCAATGCCCTATCTATGGTTTGATTTCACTGTGTCCGCGGCTATTGTGCCAATCCATCATTACCACTTTGTTGCCAATGAGATATGAGCATCGGGGTTGAAGCCATATGTGCCAACAGCAATAGATAATAAAAGAACATCAAAGGCAGTGCATGCACAAGAGCTGCTTTGATGCCCACTAACATGTTCACGTGCACCTGGGTGGTGATATTGCTTGCATGGGGCCTGATGGAATGGGCTGCGGGGTGTGCGGACTCCAAATTTCGAGGTGTGTGGCATTTGTGTTCTTTGCATTCCGGCGCCTTTCGTGTCAGTGGAATTTGTGCCGTCGATTACTTCTGTGAAGAGAAAGGGCATCAGCTGTTTGGACCAAATGTAAATACTTTTGCAGATTGTTCGTGCATTTGATTACAGTGCAGTATTTTCCCATGCAGCATTGCGTGCATACATATTCTGCAGAAAACTCCTTACATACAGTATTTGAATTAGAATGACTGCAATTTCCTGCCTATTTTTTCTGACTTCTGTATGAAACGGTAGACGCCAATATTTTTTAACTGCATGTAACAACAATGGCAGTAAAACGCATAGGATGACCTCAAGACTCCATCGGTCGAGGCTCGGTTTCTGGGTTTTTTCCGTCACATCATCATTCACAAGTATTGAATCACCGGCGGCTAAGTTTTATTCACTGCTCGGCGAAGGGCTTCACATTATCGCCACTCCGCACTGTCACTTGATGCACAGTCCATCTTGCACGTGAGCTAATCGAATAATTCCATCTCCGTGGTGGCTATCCTCAAAGTGCGCTCCTGCCCTTTGCTACCGCTCCTTCACCGGCCTCATACATCGCCCCATCGGCCATCATTTATTGCAAGGATATGTCCTGCCCATGTCCACTTACTAACGGTCACTATGATGTCTTAAATTTGTTTGTTTTTTTGATCCACGTGTTCCCCTTTCTGTCTCCAACATAACAATCTCAGCATTCACCCCTCCATGCTTCTTTGTGTGTTTTCTTTGTCAATGTTCATGTTTCAGGGCAGGTAATATGTACTGATCAAAAACCTTTCCATTTTCGTCACATTGGTGATACCGGTTTTCATTCTCATATAAAACATTTCAAACGCACTGCAGCCTGCTCTTGTTCGCCTCATTATTTTACATTCTTGATGCCAGTTTGCCTTCAATAACTGCCCTAGGTATAGTCTAGACACATTGTTATGTTTCCCAGCTTTGGCCCTTCAATTATTTTCAGTTTTCAGTGAACTTGTTGCATGATTCATATTTTTTTAGTCCTCATATTTGGATTTTTCCCATTATTTTAGCCCCTTTTTTCAGTCATTTCTGGTAGGTCACTTCCACTGCATTTTTCCATTTTGACTGTCAAGAAAAATCTTACCTGGTTAACACAGTCTCCATTTACGTTTTGTGCCCTTATTTCTCCAATCAAATTTTCAGAAAATATCTTCTACTGTAACTTTAATGCTGCTCCTCTTAATTGCACCTGATGTAGAGGCCATCTGTCGAAGTACGTCAGTGCCCAATACATTTCTCACCATGTTTAATACACACTCGTAATCAAGGTATTCGAGCAATTACCCACATATACACAATTACAGCCTTTTTCAAATTGCACTGTTGGATGAAAGCCTCGTGCCGTTTCACCAGGGAGACGGTTAGACCTTACTTGACTATGCTGGTCAGTGCAGATTCTTTTAAAGAGTGGGGGTTGGTGCAGTACCTTTTTCCGATACCACCACCACTGATGTTAGCCGTGCCCCGGCATCAAATGTAAGTCACTGGATTCATAGTGCCCGTGCACTTTACTCCCAAGCCACTGCTGCTCCCGTTTTTATATTTAGAGTACCGGCAGTCCCCAGCTTGCGAACAGGTTCCGTTCCTGAGACCCGTTCACAAATTGAACGGTTCGTAAGTCGGAACACGATAATGTACTATGTTTAAATGCACATTTGGTCAGTGTTATACAAAATGTGTTAAGGTGCTACAAAAAAGGGAAGCACTGTTAAAACTCATAAATAAGAAAGGTTGTACAGTGAGGGAAAAAAGTATTTGATCCCCGGCTGATTTTGTACGTTTGCTCACTGACAAAGAAATGATCAGTCTATAATATTAATGGTAGGTTTATTTGAACAGTGAGAAACAGAATAACAAAAACATCCGGAAAAACGCATGTCAAAAATTTTATAAATTGATTTGCATTTTAATGAGGGAAATAAGTATTTGACCCCTCTGCAAAACATAACTTAGTACTTGGTGGCAAAACCTTTGTTAGCAATCACAGAGGTCAGACGTTTCTTGTAGTTGGCCACCAGGTTTGCACACATCTCAGGAGGGACTTTGTCCCACTCCTCTTTGCAGATCTTCTCCAAGTCATTAAGGTTTCGAGGCTGACGTTTGGCATCTTGAACTTTCAGCTCCATCCACAGATTTTCTATGGGATTAAGGTCTGGAGACTGGCTAGGCCACTCCAGGACCTTAATGTGCTTCTTCTTGAGCCACTCCTTTGTTGCCTTGGCCGTGTGTTTTGGGTCATTGTCATGCTGGAATACCCATCCACGACCTATTTTCAATGCCCTGGCTGAGGGAAGGAGGTTCTCACCCAAGATTTGACGGTACATGGCCCCATCCATCGTCCCTTTGATGCGGTGAAGTTGTCCTGTCCCCTTAGCAGAAAAACACCCCCAAAGCATAATGTTTCCACCTCTTTGTTTGACGGTGGGGATGGTGTTCTTGGGGTCATAGGCAGCATTCCTCCTCCTCCCAACACGGCGAGTTGAGTTGATGCCAAAGATCTCCATTTTGGTCTTATCTAACCCCACAACACTTTCACCCAGTTGTCCCCTGAATCATTCAGATGTTCATTGGCAAACTTCAGACGGGCATGTATATGTGCTTTCTTGAGCAGGGAGACCTTGCGGGCGCTGCAGGATTTCAGTCCTTCACGGCATAGTGTGTTACCAATTGTTTTCTTGGTGACTATGGTCCCAGCTGCATTGAGATCATTGGCAAGATCCTCCCGTGTAGTTCTGGGTTGATTCCTCACCGTTCTCATGATTATTGCAACTCCACGAGGTGAGATCTTGCATGGAGCCCCAGGCCGAGGGAGATTGACAGTTCTTTTTTTTTCCATTTGCGAATAATCGCACCAACTGTTGTCACCTTCTCACCAAGCTGCTTGGCAATGGTCTTGTAGCCCATTCCAGCCTTGTCTAGGTCTACAATCTTGTCCCTGACATCCTTGGAGAGCTCTTTGGTCTTGGCCATGGTGGAGCGTTTGGAATCTGATTGATTGATTGCTTCTGTGGACAGGTGTCTTTTATACAGGTAACAAGCTGAGATTAGGAGCACTCCCTTGAAGAGTGCTCCTAATCTCAGCTCGTTACCTGTATAAGAGACACCTGGGAGCCAGAAATCTTTCTGATTGAGAGGGGGTCAAATACTTATTTCCCTCATTAAAATGCAAATCAATTTATAACATTTTTGACATGCGTTTTTCTGGATTTTGTTGTTGTTATTCTGTCTCTCACTGTTCAAATACACCTACCATTAAAATTATAGACTGAGCATTTCTTTGTCAGTGGGCAAACGTACACAATCAGTAGGGGATCAAATACTTTTTTCCCTCACTCACTGTACATTCGTACATTTTTCGAACCAAATAGTTCCATGGCTAGGTTTGCGAGTGCGAGTCACAATCGCAAGTCGGATGGTTAAAAATGAATATCTTATGGAAGCTCATTCGTAAATGCGGATGTTTGTAAGTTCGGCATTTTTAAAGTCTGGGAATGCCTCTACACGGTATTAGAATGCTTGGACGCAAGTCTTAACGCGTGAACATTGTGCAGGCCTATCTGTGTTACCTCATCCCTAGAAATAATTTCGCGAACCAAAACCTGATATTTCGGAGCATGAATTTAAATCGGTGTTTATGCGGCGACCCAGATTTTCGTGGTTGGATTCGGTTAACTGTAATCTGGGAAAATGTCTGGAAGCTTCTCGCTCTTTGTTATAGGGCAGCAGAGACATTGCTTTCCTTGCCGGTCTGAACAGCGAAATGCAAATTGACGGATAAGGAGCTTGCCTCCAGTAGCATCGCGTTGTCACTACAGCGTAGGTTTCGCGGTTGTGCCGCTGTACAACTCTGCGATGTCTTTTCGGGATGTACCATGGCTTCTTCGGCATCATGACTGACGTTTTGCTCCACGTGCCGGGAGCTTCTGTACAAACACAACCCACAAAACACGTCAAACGGCTCGTCGTTTTTTGCCCAAGTTGGGAGGGGGGGGCGGTACAGTATTTCTTCTGAACTTTTTGACCCCCGCTTTTCCTAACACCGCACGCGCGCGAGCGAGCACACGCAAACACACGTGGGCAGATGTCGGCGAGTTTGGCTCGCGTGCGTCGTGCGTAATGTGTGTAAATAAACCCCGAGTGGGGCTGACAGTGAATAGGCGTGACTGGAGCAGCGTGTGACGCTTGCCAGCACCGCACACTGTACAGTGGCAATAATCTCGAATTATCGTCCGCAAAGGTGGCTTTTTTTGCGCAGTGTGGCCAGCGGGACATCACCACTTGGCTCACTCAAATGCCCCGTGGCTAATCTCTAGGTTTTCAGAGCCGCCCCCTCCTTGAGGGGGGTTGGGGTTAGTTTGGGGCGGGGAAAAAAAACCTCCCACAGAATCAACTCGGCAACTGCTGTCAGGTGACCCGAGCACAAGATGAGCTTTAATTTCAGCACGAGCACTTCCAGCACGCCTTGTTCTATTTATACAGCTGTAAGCGTGTTTATTAATTTGTTCCAACTTGAGTGATGTTTTTTTTAAAAGTGTGGGTTTTTGTTGGTGGACGTCACGGAAACATCTCAAGCCTTTCTTGGTATTTGAAGGTCTGATATTATTCGCATTTCTTCAGTAATGTAGACGTCTGTGAAATAGAGCATCATAGCTCATTGGATTTCTCCAGGATAAATAAAGATTAATATTCTGACATTCGTCATGAGATACACAGCTGGAGATTTTTAATAACGCGAAATGGCTGCTGATTTTGAAGGATGGGGAAAGAAAAAAATCTATACGTATCTTTTTAAATCTTTGGCCGACCTGCGTTTTACTGCCTGCTATGAAGCTTCATTCTGCAATCGATACACTCTAGATGGGTTTTTGTTATTTCAGAGGCCTGCCAAGCGCCATGTAATTGTAGTCGCAATAATCCAACGTGTTTGATAGGCCTGTAATTTTGTACCGTGCTTCTCCGCGAGTTGAAAACGCCGCATAATTGTTTAATTTCTGTCTTTGTCACCTCACACTTCTCCCCCCCCCACTCGCAATACCCCGCTCACTCAGTGGCCACACATACGAAATCACTCCACAACACAATACCAACACTCACGCGCCACGTATGACACGACGCAACCGCACAACTGCCATCGCGAAATCTCCTTCTACAACCGGTCGCCTCACAACACTCAATACAAATATAACAAACCACGTGGTGGGCCAAACCAATACGCAGCAACAACACGCGACTTCTGCACATCGCACGTGCCACCCACCCCACGTACCACCACCACACGTGCCACCCACCCCACGTACAATCGTACGTACCGCCATCGCACGTACTGCCACAGCACGTACCAACGCCGCACGCGTCACTCGCCACAGGTACAAATCGCACGTGCCACCACCGCACGTGCCTCCGACCGTGCCACAGCAGGGAGGGAGGAGCGTGCTGAGCATTAGCGAGATGAGCGAGGTGCTGAAGAGGAAGTTTGAGGAGGTGGAGGGCGGCTCGGGGCTCTCATCCCCGAAAGACTCGGACGATGACCTATCGAGCAGCGACAGCGGGGACAGCGGGGACAGCGTCAACGCCCCGGCTGACGGACTCTTCCCACGTGAGTGTGATACGAACCCTGAGCCTCCCCGCACTCCTTCATTCTTGCCCCCACGACTCCCTCCTCGGTACTTGCCCCCACGGCCCCCTACACCGGGGGCGGGGAACCTATGTCTCGTGACTTCACTTCACATGGTCCATGGCCACACAAGGACCATCGCTTCCAAACAGCCCGCAAACTATGTTTAGTTGTGACTGCAAGCATCGTATCTGCACTAATCGAGTACAGGGGGCAGGAGAATATTTTACACCTGGCAACGAAAGTGTGTCTCGTGCCAAAGCTACAGCATGAAAACACAGGCCATTTGCAGCGACAGAAGTGACTGAGGTGTGTGTGTGTGTTTATGTGTGGCCTGCCAAAGGTGTTTGAAAGCCCTCTTCTGCCCTCCGTAAAGAAAAAAAGTGACCGCTCCCTCTGGTCGATGCCCCCCCCCCTCGTCCTTCTCGCACCGATGGTAGATTTTTTGCACGTGATGTGTGTAACTGGACGTGCAATGATTCATTTATTCCAAGAAAAAATGTCCAAGGATGTACTTGTAATAATTGACCGTCTTTTCTCAATCCGGTGCTAAATGAAGCCTTCGCCCACGATGAACAGGCTGTCTATGTTGTTTGACCGTGTTTGACCACATTGCGGGTTGGTCATTGTGGGCTGGTGAAAGGAGAGGCCCAGGAGCGGATCATATATCACTCGCCACCGATGTTAGCTGTGGCTAGGAATCAAAAGTCATGTCGCCGGATTTGGAGTGCAGTGTGCAGACCACTGCACCAGTCAGTGCTTCTTCCAAACAGTCGTTTTATTTGTATTTAATACAAAGCGTATGTAAATGAGATACCTATGTTACATTTTGGCTCATGCACCATACTGTACAAGCTCGGCAAAACAATCCAGATGGTAAAAATTAGACGAAACAGAATCGATTCTTCAATCGAATCGTGATTCCAGCTCAGTAATTCATGGAATCGCCTGTGCGCTGGTGCATTGTTACATGCCTACGTAAAACGTTTTATTATCCGTGCCCTGTATTTGTGTCAACATGCTGGGCTTTTTGTTTTACCCTATCATCTCTTTTGTTTCTCACTGCCTTTATTTTAACAGTGCATTTGGTCCCCACTGTGTTTACCTTCCATTAGGTGTCATGTGAAATTCCACTAAATTGCCTCTCGTCGATTCCCACATCACCACATAGTGTGAATGTAGTTGTGACATTTATGCCACACTCAGGTCACAGCTCTACTGCTGTGTGGCTTTATTCTTCCGGGCTGTTGCTTAAATTTCTAAAATCTGCTGATCCTCGGATTAAATTATATTACGTTTGCTTGTCACGATATGCCTGGAACCAAAGTTGGCTGTTGCCTTGTGCGCAGTGCACTTGACTTTTAAGACCACGCTAACCCCACATGAGTGTCATTTGAAATTGACAGAGCAATTCAGAAACGCCACATTTTCTCACATTTAGATAATAGATAAGTGTAGCATGCCTTGAATAATAGCGCGTGGATATAAGACTTGAGTGAGGGGTGGGGTGGAAAATAATATATATTTATGAAAAGACTGAAATTAAACGACCTTTACGATCTACCCCTTTGTTGTTCGTAAGGACAAAGGCATACATTCAAAAAAAATCTGAACAAAAAGGAGCATTCGCTGGCACGGGAATAATAATGTCCCAGGTTTGAACTGGTTTAAAGCCAGGGTGCAGTCTCCTCTAGGTGAGGTGATACAAGTGTTTGGATATTTGTGGCCCTTTACTCATAAGAGTCCCCGTGAACAATCAATAATTGGGTGGTGCTGAAATTCCATGTTTAAATGGCAGGGACCAGTCTCTCCATAAGACACTATTTCCTGCATACTCACTTTACCATCCTCTCAGTGATGATGGTGATGTTGAAAATGAGGCAAGTAATGGTGCATTAATCGAGTCATTAATTAAAATGAATTGTTACATGAAGGTTACATGCACAAAATTATGCATGTTAAAAATTCTTATTTTCAGTTTTGTGCAAATTCTATTCAAACGGTGGAACTGTAGCACAGTGGTTAGCGCACTGCATTTTGAACTCGGGGACTTGAGTTTGATTGCTGCCTTTGGCTACCAGTCGACATGACCACGGGGAGAACATGCAAACTCCAAATATACAGGCATCGTCAGGGTCAGGATCGAACCCACGACCTCCTGCATACCAGGCGAGGGACTTAACATCTCGCCACTGCACCACCCTGGTGGCAGCTAAGGGAGGGAACATTCCAGGGAGGACGTCCAACACGGATATGGAGCACACAGATCGGCCGGCATTCAGGAGCTCGACTTATCGTTGCATCACTAGACACTGCGAGACGGCGGCGTCTTCATCAGTCAGGATCGAACGCACGACCTCCGGCATACCATTCGAGGGATTTAACATCTCCTAGCCACTGTGGCGCTCAATCCACCCTCCCCCGCACGTTCTCACCCTCTCCCCTCTCTCTCTTCCCCCAGAGTCGTCGTCGTCCTCCTCAACGGCGGCGGGACCCTCGGCGTCGAAGCGCGCGCGCGGCAAGAACGTGCGCTTCGACCAGGTGACGGTGTACTACTTCTCGCGGCGGCAGGGCTTCACGAGCGTGCCCAGCCAGGGCGGCAGCACGCTGGGCATGGCGAGCCGCCACGACCGCGTCGCCGTCTACTCGCTGGGCGAGTTCGCCCAGGAGCGCGAGCGTGCCCACCAGCACATGCTGCGCCAGCACCTCAAGGAGGAGCGGCTCAACGCGCTGCGCCTCCAGGTTCGTTCCACCCCGCGCTCTCGCAAATCCGGTCGGATCGGGGAAATGGGAGTCATTGTTCGCAATTAAGCATTTATGGGTCACACACCGGTGTGCTGAACTAGTAACTAAATTGGCACGTTTTGTTTACGTGACAACATTTATTTTTCCGCGACCTAACCCATAAAACCTTTATTATGAATAATATTGGCCGCGAAAGCCTACGTGTGAATCATCATTGTGGTTGTAAGTCTCTGATGAAGGTGTCAGTCCCCCAGCTGTCGCCGTCTCTCAGTGCTTTGCGATTGCCCGTGCACACGAGCAGATTCGTGCTCCATACAGTCACATTTTGCAAATGTGATTTGTAACTTTGATCCTTAGCCATGTCTCGATAGTTCATTTTTAATGTGCCACCGATCAAATTTGGTGATAGGGGCTCACAGGACATGGCAGTGCGCGTGATAATGAGTGCAACACAACCATACATGAGACCAAGTGGATGGATATGGTTGGGATGAGGAACAAAGTTGTTAGGGCTACCATTTGGCTGCAGAACTATTATTCAGAGCAGCAGCAATTTCCACGTTAAAGTTATTTTTTAACGCTCCATATAAGCCTCTCCAAAATACAATTTCTAGGGACATGAAAACTGCTCATCTTTTCAGGTTGGAAAAAAATATGTTCGGTTGAGATATTTAAAAAAAATGTTTCTCGGGGGGGAAAAAATACCCCCAGTGTGGGAAAACCGCCGCAGAGAGATACAATGTTACAAGATCTTCAGATTGCGGCTAAGTTGAGACACAAACCACCAGAGGTCACGTTAATCTGCGTGACGCTAACAGGAAAAGCCACAACGAAACGCTGTTTTTTAACCACGACCCTGCCCACCCAAAATACGCTGCGTTTTTTTGGCGCAGCATCCCTAGTCCCATGCAGCTTCTGCCAGCGCTGGCAAAGCTAGAGGTCGTGAAGACTCCAAGCCAGCGTACGGAGCCGTGTAATTCTCAGAGCCACAGGCGGTGGAGGGGGGGGGGGCGTGGAAGTTAATGCAGAAATTGAAGCAGATGTGGACAGTTGTGCCGGGTGCCAGCTTTTGTCAGGCCGACACCCGTGGGAGATGCTCGTGACCTCGTACGTACGCGGGCATACGGGCACGGGACCGACTCGGTTACGCCAGCATGTGTTTTACTGCGCACATTTCACGCTGGCGTGGCCCTGCTGGGTTAAGTTGCGCGTTTTTTTCCAGTAAGAATTGTAAACGTCCCTTGATGCAATGCCTTTAGCTTCGGTCTCATATCCCCTATAATTGTGCCTCTAGTTGTTGTTTGCGTACTCGGCGATAAAGAGATTTTTATGTTTCGTTTTACCTGTGTGCCTTACCAAATGTGCTGTATAGGCATCCCATGATGCATCGATTGATGGATCAGAATCGATTTTGCAACTTGCAATACATGCCTCAAATAGTTGCATGTGAGTTTCGGTTATGTACATTTTTAACTAAATATATTCAATGATAATGTTGTTGAATTTAGGCTAAATTCAACAACATTGAATTTAGGCTAACTTTACAGAATGAGACAAAACAAACACGAGCAACAATACAAATACGATGGTGAAAACAAGTCGTAGAATTCATTCTTAAATTTAATTTTGACCTCGAATCGTAAAAATCCTTACAGTAGTGAATCGTTAGATATCTCGTGCTTTGGATTTGGAAATGGTTAAGTACCCTTTGAGAGAGTGTAAATATTGAGGGCTGGTGTTTAGTGAATTCGAAGTGGTTATTAACAGTGATAATCCTTAAAAGGCAAGGCTGGTGCTTAGAGGATACGTTTTTTTGTTACGTACGGTGTGAAAACATACATACGCAATGTTGGTGTACACTGAAAGTTTGCCCGTGTCGGGTTTTCCCCATTGCGGATTTGAAAATTCGCGGCGAATCCATTGAGGTATTGTTCGCCGATCGCGCCCTTGTGGCTCGACCATCCGCGCTTGACCGCGGGGCACCTGTGTGCATTGTGAAGAAGTACTGTACTGTTAGCTGCACTGCTCGCGAAGATGCTGCCACAGAAGTGTACACACGTCATCTTGTCTCCATGTTGTCTCCCATGCAGCCCATTGCGGGTCCCAGTTTCACGTGTTCTCAGCGTCCAGTGAGGCATTCAGATTTAGCTGTGCCGTTTCTCTTACTCTAGTGTTGCAATACTACAGTGAGGGAAAAAAAGTATTTGATCCCCTGCTGATTTTTTACGTTTGCCCACTGACAAAGAGATGATCAGTCTATAATTTTACTGGTAGGTTTATTTGAACAGTGAGAGACAGAATAACAACAAGAAAATCCAGAAAAACGCATGTCAGAAATGTTATAAATTGATTTGCATTTTAATGAGGGATATAAGTATTTGACCCCTCAATCAGAAAGATTTGTGGCTCCCAGATGTCTTTTATACAGGTAACGAGCTGAAATTAGGAGCACACTCTTAAAGGGAGTGCTCCTAATCTCAGCTTGTTACCTGTATAAAAGACACCTGTCCACAGAAGCAATCAATCAATCAGATTCCAAACTCTCCACCATGGCCAAGACCAAAGAGCTCTCCAAGGATGTCAGGGACAAGATTGTAGACCTACACAAGGCTGGAATGGGCTACAAGACCATTGCCAAGCAGCTTGGTGAGAAGGTGACAACAGTTGGTGCGATTATTCGCAAATTGAAGAAACACAAAAGAACTGTCAATCTCCCTCGGCCTGGGGCTCCATGCAAGATCTCACCTCGTGGAGTTGTAATAATCATGAGAACGGTGAGGAATCAGCCCAGAACTACACGGGAGGATCTTGTCTGGGACCATAGTCACCAAGAAAACAATTGGTAACACACTATGCCTTGAAGGACTGAAATCCTGCAGCGCCCACAAGATTCCCCTACTCAAGAAAGCACATATACATGCCCGTCTGAAGTTTGCCAATGAACATCTGAATGATTCAGAGGACAACTGGGTGAAAGTGTTGTGGTCAGATGAGACAAAAATGGAGCTCTTTGGCATCAACTCAACACGCCGTGTTTGGAGGAGGAGGAATGCTGCCTATGACCCCAAGAACACCATCCCTACCGTCAAACATGGAGGTGGAAACATGCTTTGGGGGTGTTTTTCTGCTAACGGGACAGGACAACTTCACCGCATCAAAGGAACGATGGACGGGGCCATGTACCGTCAAATCTTGTTTGAGAACCTCCTTCCCTCAGCCAGGGCATTGAAAATGGGTCGTGGATGGGTATTCCAGCATGACAATGACCCAAAACACATGGCCAAGGCAACAAAGGAGTGGCTCAAGAAGAAGCACATTAAGGTCCTGGAGTGGCCTAGCCAGTCTCCAAACCTTAATCCCATAGAAAATCTGTGGAGGGAGCTGAAGGTTCTAGTTGCCAAACGTCAGCCTCGAAACCTTAATGACTTGGAGATCTGTAAAGAGGAGTGGGACATAATCTCTCCTGAGATGTGTGCAAACCTGGTGGCCAACTACAAGAAACGTCTGACCTCTGTGATTACCAACAAGGGTTTTGCCACCAAGTACTAAGTCATGTTTTGCAGAGGGGGTCAAAGACTTATTTCCCTCATTAAAATGCAAATCATTTTATAACATTTTTAATATGCGTTTTTTTGGATTTTTTTGTTGTTATTCTGTCTCTCACTGTTCAAATAAACCTACCATTAATATTATAGACTTATCATTTCTTTGTCAGTGGGCAAACGTACAAAATCAGCAGGGGATCAAATACTTTTTTCCCTCACTGTATACACTACGTTATATGTGTGTTTTGATTCCATACATTTACTGTACAAATTACATTTAATACTCTAGAAAGTATCTTGGTTGGGTCGATGTAGGGTAACATAAAAAACAATAGGAGGGGGTGTCGTATTATGACCGGTGAACCATACCCCAGTTTTCGTATTTGCGTTTTAAGTTTTGAGATCACGTATTTTTTTCCGCTTGTGGCTATTTTCAAGAACGTGACTCCTGCGATGAGCAAGATTTTGGTGTACAACCTTGGGGGGTAATGATGCATCGATTAAAATATTTTTCTTCATCTCACAAGACAGAATAAAATGTTTTTCTGATTCATTTATTTAGTATTAAATGCATTTATTTACAGTACCCCTCCAGCCACTAGAGGCCGCTACCTCTTGAATCAAATCAAGACTCCCATATCGCAACATGTTTACGAATTGTTACACTCCAACTGACTGTATAAGAAAAATGTAACTGCATATAATATAAAAAAATGTGGTGCCCACTTTGAGTAATGAACTGGGTAGACTAACATACTGGCAACAATAATTCCACAAAAGCATTTGAAGTAATAGATGAGAAACACACACTGCCACTGTGTGGGTGATGATACAAGTGTCAGTAACAAAGTGGATAGTTGGGGTTCATGGACGAAATCATGGATGTCTAATCCAACACTTTTGCAGGCAAGGGGTTGGTGTATCGCATAAAATATTCCGTACTGTGAGATGGTTAGGAAATGTCGGTATAGCAAGTACGTTCATGACACTATCTGCGTGTGTGTATGTGCACCTTTGGACGTTATTCCCTTTGCTCAGTCAGCTTGCTGTAGGGACTTGCCTCTGGTTCTAGGTCTCGTTCAGACCTTAACACCGGTGTGTGCCTTTATCCGCTTTAGTAATCCTGACTGTGCCATCATCATCATTATTATAATCATTATCAGCATACAATAAATATTCTGGTTCTGAATCATTTTCATCATCATCATCATCATCACAGCTGATGCAGAGCGGTGCTCCCGAACCTGAGCACACGCACGGCCTAACGGTGGACGACATCCCGGACGAGGAGGTGGACGCTCGCGCCCTGGACGTGGATGACTACTTCTTCCTGCAGCCGCTGCCGACGCGCAAGCGGCGTGCCATGCTGCGCGCGTCGGGCGTGCGCCGCATCGACGGCGACGAGAAGCAGCAGCTGCGCGCCATCCGCGTGTCGCGTGAGGAGTGCGGCTGCGACTGCCGCTCGCACTGCGACCCCGAGACGTGCGGCTGCAGCCAGGCCGGCATCTCCTGCCAGGTGCGTGCGTGCGTGCGTGCTCGCGTGCAGACACACGTGGGGAGTGGTGACGTGCTACGTGGAACCAGCGAATCAAAGTTCGATCCGTGCTCACAGTCAACATCGGTGACGAATATCTAAACCGGTCCTGGGTCCGTTGCAGCCTAAATTGAGTACTCGGTGCTGTGTGTAAACATCGGAATTGAGACGACAGGCGGCTGGGCGCGGTGTTGGCCAACCACTCCCTCGTGTGCCGTGCCAGCCTTCATAGGTGCTCGCTAACAGCACGAGTCCCAACAGTCGGTTAAAGGCTATACGGGAGGGGGGGGGGTCATGCACTGAGCACAAGGTGTTCAGTGGAGGCGGTGGCTGCATTCCACAGGTGCTGAACAATTGCGTTGTTTTTCGGACGAGTCCAAAGACCGCAAAAAGGACAGTATATACATGTCAGCACGAGACAAGATTACTTAATTCAGCTCTTCCAGTTATGAATGTATAATGCACATTCAATATACAGGACTATCGCGATGCATTGGCCTACTTTACAAATCAGACATAATTGAGATCGCAGTTTAGCTTTGCCTCATTAGCTCCCAGTGTATTAGTTATTCCCAAATTGGACTTGAATAGTGTGCATGTGCTGAGTATAATAATGAAGTGTGGGGAGAAGCATATTTGGAATTGCACCGAGAGAAAGGAAGAGGAACCTCATGGATCGGAGAACGAATGCATAATCAAGACACAGTTGACAAATAAGAGAATTGGGTTTTGAAAGAACATGTTGCTCCAAGGGACTTTGGCCTGTGGCTGAGACTAACGATGTAACGGCAGGCAAAGGTGGGAACACACCCGAGAGGTTATCCAATGAGGAAACGGAGAAATTAAACCGGCTTATTGCGTACAGATTCATGGCGTGTTGCATTTGACGATGACTGTGGTGTTGTAGCTCTTATCGACGAACGCCTATCGCGGTAATAGTTAGTTTTATTTGTATATTTTTTTAAGTAACTTTACCTTTTTTATAATCTTAGCTCTTTCGGTAAAGTCACGTTGAAGGGAAACAATAAAATAATAAAATATATAAAAAATTTATCACGACGTTTCGACCATTACACAAACGGTTGTCATCAGGTGTTATGGTCGAAACGTCGTGAGAATTTGTATTGTTTTATATGTATTTTATTATTTTATTGTTTCCCTTCGACGTGACTTTACCGAAAGCGCTAAGAATATGAATTACTGCAGTCACGAAAGCTTTGAATCAAAATGTAACTTTACCTTTGCTATACTTTACACTCCTATTGTGGTTTTGTATTGTTTGTTGTTGTAACGTTATGACCCGCCCCTTACTGGACATCTGTGAAAAAAAAGCTTCATGGCTCAACGGATTTCTCCAGTGTCGATAAAGATTCTGAATCTGCAATCTGAATGGACTCCGTGATCCGACCAGGTGGACCGCCTGTCATTCCCGTGCGGCTGCACGCTGGACGGCTGCGGAAACGCGTCGGGGCGCGTCGAGTTCAACCCGGTGCGCGTGCGAACGCACTTCATCCACACCATCATGCGGCTCGAGCTGGAGAAGAAGGAGGCAGGCGTGCCGTACCTCGGTGGGGGTGACGCTGGGCAGCTCGTGCCGCCGCACGCCGACGCCGCGGACTCCTTCTCAGCCGACGCAGCCAGCGTCGCCGGGTGTGTGAGTGTGCAGCAGCGTGTGGAGTGTGTGTGCATGAGTGTGGAGCAGTGTGGAGCGCGTGTGTGTGTGTGTGCAGCAGCGTGTGGAGTGTGTGTGCATGAGTGTGTGTGCATGAGTGTGGAGCAGTGTGGAGCGCGTGTGTGTGTGTGTGCGCGCGCGAACCTGGAGCAGTGTGTGTTGACGGTGGAGTAGTGCGAGTGCGGAGTATGTGTCTGTGACCTGTCGCGAGTCTTCGACGCTTCACGTGGCCTCAGTGCAGCTAGCCCGGCACAAGCGCCGTGGTGACACCGCCGCCGCTTAGTGGCGAATGTCGGCTGTTGTTGGTGTGTGGAGTGTGTGTGCAGCGTGTGTGTGCAGCGTGTGTGTGTGTGTGTGAGAGCCGAGCAGTTGGAACTGTACACTTCCATTACCAGACGTGTGTCGAGTTTGTTAAGCGTTTGGATAAGTGTACATACATCTATGCAACTGTGTGTGTCTAAGTGCGATTGTGTCTTGTGTGGATGCAAGTGTGCGAATTGGTGTACAAATTTGTGTGTGTGTCGAGTGTTTGGAAGTTGCGTGCTTGTTCACGCACTGCTGTGAACCCAGCGACTTGATTACATCAGTGGTACTTTGCATTTGAACCTGACCTCGCCTTCACCTAGGTTTACTCAGACTAAAATTAATACCTTTTGTGACTTGTCACCATAAGTACTGTAGATGGTCTGTACGGAACTGTGCACACCACTTCACGTGGCCTGCGCCAGACTTAATTGGTGCTCACTCACAGCTTTTGCCTCAGGGGGGGGTATCCCTCTGATAAAATATAATGGCAGCTCTTTGAGTGTGTCCAGTACTAGCATGTGTTTGTTTTTGTTACATCCACAGCCTTTTTGTCAATCCACTGATTGGTCGAGGGCCTTCTCACACCCCGTGGGCCATGGGGGTCAATCGTACTTCCCCCATGCCGGTCTGTGCGGTTTGGTGAAAGTGAGGAACGTAGACTTGTGAGCGTGGTACAGTACGCCAATTGAGTTTGCTGCAGTGCACTCGACTGCGCACAACTAGGCCCCGTGAGGCTATACATCTAGTTTTTGAGCTGGCCTTCATCCAGCCGTGGATTGATAAAAAAAAGGACTGATCCCGTGTGTGCCCGCAGGCTGAGCTGCGTGATGGCTGCCAGCGAGGCTCGCATGGCGCACCCCTTCCTCAGTGACGCGGCCATCGTGCAGGAAGGAGAATTTTTGCCCGCCTGCCCCGCGGCCGTTTCGATGCACGCGGGCGCTAGCGACGGGGAGCTGCCACCGGACGCCCCGGCAACAGGTGGCTATAGGATCATGCCGTTTTTTCAAGTGCCGGGCGCAGACGCCCAGGTCGAGATTGCCAGCGACACGCCGCCTCCCCACGCCTTGGACTCCTCCATGTTCAGTCTGCCGCCGTCCGACTGTGCGCCCGTCCGCATCTTCCCCAGCGCGTCCTCCTCCCTGCCGATGGCCGGCCTTTTCTCAAACGGGGACTTTGTGGCGGCGTGCGCGCCGACGTGTTTGCCAAACCAGGGCACAGCTCATGCCGAGCTGCCCTTCATAACGACCACCACCACCGTCGCCACCACCGCCGTCGCCTTGCAAGAAGTGCCAACGGTGCCGTTCCAGCTCGGCGAAACGCCCTCGCCTCCCGAGGACGGGGAGACTCCCGGCTCGCACGCCGCGCGGGATTTTCCCCTCGCCCTGGTCACGGAAAAGTTCGCCGAGCCGGTACACGAGCCCGCGTCGGCGCCAATGCGCGACGGCGCGGGAGAGGACGTGGCGCCACGCGCGTCCATGGCGGAGGAATTGGAGGGCTCCCCTCCGGCTCTTCACGTCTGCCAGGTGGATGCGCTCCCGGCGGAGCCCCTCGGCTCGGCCGAGCCGCCGAGCGCGATCGACTTGAGGGAAGGGCTCTCCATTGGCGGAGACGAGCGCCGGGGCGAGGGCGAGCCGTCCGCGAGTGCGCCGGACGGTGGCACGGCGTGCGAACAGCAGCCGCCCGCCACATGGCGAAGGGCGGGAGACGGGCGCGGTCAGGTTTCTCTGCCGCCGGTTGCCAAAGAAGTTCGGGATGAAGAGGCGGCGGTGTGTGAAGTGCAGGACGAGCCCGGCCCCGACAAGTTGCCTCTCACCACGAAGCCTAAGGAGGATGTTTAACTGTGAGAAACCCATTCCGAGCCCAACTATGACTATTGCAGCAGGCACTTCGAGCCAGAGGTATTTATTTCACTCGTGAGCTTTACACAGGGACAGCAAAGCGATTCTCGCTGCTGCGAACTAAAGCGGAGAGCGAGAGATGCGGTAGGCATGACGAATGGGGGCCAGTTAGAAATCCACGGAAGTGCTCATCCGGTAGTGGCGTGTCCACGTGTGGTCTCTGCGTAGGTTTAATTGTCGTTATGGAGATTGTTGGCTCTGGTTAAATCTTGCACATGGTTACATTTTAAACAAATCATTTTGTTCGCTGCTTCTGTGGATTTCTATTGCCTCTAAAGGAGACCGTGTGAGAAATCCACACTCTTGAGCTTATTTTGGAGCCGTCCAATGTTACGTGAAAAAAAATTGTAATAATGAACCACGTGGTGTTCATATATAAAGGAAAAAAATAGAAATATTTACTGGCGTGTGGTATTTATAGAGTTTTATCTTGAAATACCTACCGTTGGGAGTGACAGCACACCAGGGGGCGCTTTAAATGGAAAACTTGAAATATTTTAGAAAGTTTCCGAGTGCTGGGTGAGGCGTATAACGTGCGCTGTTTTGAGCTGTTTATGCTGCTCTCATTGAGCATCAACAGGGCCCACAACGTTACGCCTATGCTATTGACACGTGGGTGGTTTCCACGTAAATGATCATGGGGAGGGATCCCCCTTAGCTGTTTACAGCCCTCAGATAGTGGTGGCCATTCCACGTTTCTACAGTGGGGTGAGGGGCGAATGAATCCATGAGAAAACTGTTTTCAAGTTGCTCATAAAATGCACATTTTTATTCCCCTACAGCTGTGCATACGGAAAATTAAAATTAACTCTTATACGACACTAAATGACAATTTTGTGAATTGAATTTTAACCTTGTGAGAGCCATTGAGTTTCATGTTTTATGTTACAATATTGTGCAGTTTTGCAGTATAAACGATGATAAATAAACCGTTTTTTTTAATCCCACTGTGAAATTTAGAGGAAAACATAACACTGGCAGTCAGTGTCTAATGTTTGCCTATCATGAAAAAGTTATTAATGTATACTTCACATCGTTAGGAGGTGCACTTTAGTCATGACATGAAATCACTGTTTACACCGACTGCTCCGCTGTTCAGACGCCTTGTAATTGGTGAAATTGGTCGCGTTGTAAAAAAAAGTATCGAGAAAAAAGGATGAATATGCTTTTTTGGTTTTCTGACGAAAGGAATTTGTGATTAAGCTTAATTATTTTAGTTGTAGTATTTAAAAATGCTGTAATGTAAAAAAAAAAACTACATACCATTATGCCTCACCCAGTACATTTGAAAGTGAAACTCTTTTTAATCAGCAACGGTTTATAAATGACTGGTACCTGAACATTTTCATTTTAAATGAAGGAGTGGTAAATGACGATTTAAGCCACGCAGTCAGTGTTTAGATCAAATTTTTAACTATTTAACTGCTTTTATGGAAGTATTTGCAACACCATTTCAGCTGCTGTATGTAAAAAAAGACCCATTTTAGACTCGCTATATATGGCAGTAATATAATGAAAGCGTATTTATTTCATTATATGGTTTTTCTTTTATATATACCAATTTATGATTTGTATTATTGTTAATTAAGTTTGCTCAAGTGCAACTTGCGTTCGTGTTATTGTTTTCCATGGCATGTGAGCGCTTTACGTGTTTGAGCAGAGTACAGTGCAGTCGTTGGGCATATTGTGATAAGTATTGCACTGACTACGTTTTAATATCACTATTGTTGGTGAAAGCTGGAACAAGTGATGTCAACTGAAGCTATCATTGTCAATAAAAGCAGTGAAACGAAACCGAACGTTGTAAGTGCACTCTTCTGTTTATGCCAGAAAAGGTGTCAATTAAGCAGTTGTAACGAGTCTTGTCTGTGCACGTTTGCGGGGTATACTGTGCATTTTCTGTCACCGTATTGATATCGTGACGGGGTGAAATGTCAAGTGTCAAAGCCAGAATACTGCAAAGCAACTGGAATAAGAATCAAACCTTGGGAACAGATGCAGTTCATTGCTTTTGTTTGTTCCTGCATCTGCGTTGGTTGCGTAGCAAACCTGCACATTAGCAACCCTTGCATCAATCCACTACTGGATGAAGGCCTTCCAAGCCGTGGAGATTTGTTTGGCCATTCTTCACCGTGTTGGTCAGTCCAGGGGAGTGAATGTGGTGGTCGCTCATCCGAGCGCGATCAAGGCCGGACCCTGCCAACTTACGAGACCCTGATGAGACCGGGGCGCATTCCAGGTGATTTAGGCAAAGACGCGTTTGTGTGGGCTATGCAGGTGTTTTTTTTTTTACACCACACCTATAATACCCAGTTGTGTTGAGCGGTGCAATTATAAAGGTGCGATTTGCGTACACAAAAGGGGAAAACAAGCTGGCTTCCCAGTCCTAACAGAGCTTCAACTTTTTTTTGGTTACAGGATTCAGCCGGCTGTGCTAAGGCTGTGCACACGAAAACAAGAAAACGCACAAACATGGCAACTGTGCAAACTTACTGCACTCGTCAACAAGCTGACCCATAGCATAAACATTGTGTAAGCACGTGCTCTTTTTTAAAAAACTATTTTATTGCCTAAAAACTACACAGGGCTCAGTAATGGTTTGGCGAGCTGTGTGGTAAGTTTCGGAGTGATCGGTTTATGGGTTTTGTAGTTTTCATGAGAATGTGAAGTATCTTTTGACAAATGGACTCACTTTATATTTTGGTCATAGCAACGAGTGGCGGGCCTATGGGGACTCCCTTCAGCCAACACTTCTCAAAATCTCCCATGCCGTTTGAAAGGTTGTATAGGTCAAATGGTAAACAAGGCAGATGTCTTCAATAAAATAGCTCAGAGATATGTCCAGAAACCTTTGAGGTTCATGGGAAAGTTGCAATATTGTTGAGCCTGACTGATGAAAATATCATGGATTCAGATTTGAGTATGGGCGCTCTTATCCGCGCAAATATTCCAACTATTGGATATAAACCGGTTGTGATTGCTAAGCGGCATAACTTTTTCAGTGCAGTGAGATTTTGTACAACTTTATTAATGCAGGAAGTAAAACAAATCAATGGAGCTTTCTAATAAAGTACTTGTTGGCTTGCTTTGTTCCTGAGCCAATGTATCCATGCTTGAAGGACCATAATTTTCGTTCTCAGGAATGTTCAATTATTCATCGTACCATCTGCGATCGTGCAGCTTCGCATGGATGTCTACATTCATTAAGATTAAACGGAGCTCTGTATGATAAAATATTTAACGAACTAAAGATGGTTACGTCAAATATAACAATGGCAAGTCGAGAAAAAAATGGCTTTATTAATAAAACATAAAACCCAATTATACTTGACCACAACACAGAATTGTTGAAGACACGGTGCTACAGGGCTGGTTTGTAAGGCACATTAACTACAAAGAGAGAATTCAGTTAATATATTTTGCTGTCATTACAGACCAATGAATGCTGTATTTATATGCTTGTAGTTAATTTTAAAGTGGTATATCAAAACGTTACAGGGGGACTGGTTATCAACTATTAAATAAAACGGAAAAAAACCTGATTCATGAGACAGCAGATGCCTCTTTTTAAACTACAGTTATTTAATGGCTCGTGTTGAAATGTGGATGACCAGCTGTAGGTGGAGAACAAACGTCTCCATTGGGTGCCTTAATTCCCAACTTTAAAAGCCCCCATTGTATCCTTGGCATGCTCACTCAATTCCAAAGGCTTTTCTCAGAGCCTCAACGGTCTCGAAGGTGAAGCAGTCTTCAGGGTCCAGCGACTTTGCGGTGAGCTCCCGGGCTCCCCCGCCCACTGCCTGCCACCCTTCTACCGGCGCCAACTCTTTCTCAACGCCTCTGCTCTCCGCCTCCCGTCGGCCAGCGCCGTCGTCGTTTCTCGGGCCGCTCCCGGGCGCCGTTTCCTCGCCGGCCGCCGATCGCTCCGTGGCCCGCCGCCGGCGCTCGCACGCCGACCCCAAGCGCCGGCAGAGGCTCCGGACTGCCTCCAACTCTGCGCCGCCGAGGAGGCGCACGTTGAGTTCGAACCGCGGGGTCTCGGCGAGGGCTCCGAGCAGCTCGGCCACGGCGGGCGCGTCCTCGTCGCGGAAGCACTCGGCCAGCGCGACGGCCGCCTCGCCTAGCAGCCCAAAGCCAACCTCGGCGCGGAAGAGGTCACGCGCACGCCGCGCGCCCACGCGCAGCAGCAGCACATAGCGGTCCGGGGACGAGCGGCGGCGCCAGTCGCGGTTGAACTCGAGCGCCGTACACGGCAGCTCCTTCGACGGCTGAGTGCGAGGGAGGAGGGGGGGGCGTGGCGGAGATGGAGAGAGCCGCCGGGGGAAATGGAACTTGCGTTTCATGGGCCCGGATTGGCATAAATCTCTTGTCGCTGGCACCCGCGGTGGAAACATTTTATTGTTACCAAATTATTTATAGCACCGATAAAGGTTTGTGATGTGATAACGATTGCATACGAGTAGTTTACGTTGGGAAGCTGCCGGCGCACTCTGGAGGCAGGGGCTTCATTCCGCGCCCAGCAAGCCGTCAAGTTAATGACTAAGGAGCAATGCCGATGGCGGCCTCAGAAAAAAACATTTCAGGTCAGAGCAACACGAGTGCTATGAATCGTAGAAACATAAACTAATGCTGCGAAGGCTTTGTCACCTTGGTGGTACCAATTTCATGTTCTGGTCCTGGGACTCCAATTTGAACCTACACTCGCCCTCTATTACATGGAAAAGTATAATTATTTAGACTCAGAAACTTTAAAAATACCAGGTTGAAATGCGTTAGAATTTGAAATGTTTTTAGGAATCACCTTAAACCTGGTTTTACTTAAAGTTTAAGCAAATCTAATATCCCAAACTAGTTTATAGATTTTTTTTATTTACAAATGGAGGCTGAGTGGAAAATTGTGCCATTTTCGGTGTACTGTATACATTTTCCACTACTGATGTGTTTAAGTAGCGTGGTTTTCCCTGTGAATATTTGCCAACAGAAATGTAAACTGTCCGATAGCTGTCTTGAAGCCAAACAGGTTACATTAAACTTTAAATATATATAAACTCGGCGGGCAAAGCACTCTAAATAATCAATGTTTAGGGACAGCTTTGTTAAAAAAAATCCTTCTCAATCACATTCTAATTGTGCTATCGGCATCATGGCATGCGATGAACAAATGTCCAGTCTCCAATTTCCATGGCCAAGGAAGATAACATCACATAACTACATCTGAGGTCACATCAAGAGGCATTGTCCGCACGAGGATCAGACCTATTATATACCCTGCAGAGAGTGTCTGTCACATGACACTCAATCTAAAACTATTAAGTGTTAAGAAGTGAATCTTACCCAAATTAGGTGAAAACCCAAATGTAACGCCACGTATGTTTTCTGCAGTTATTAGTGACTGGGCTGAGACCATCAATTCACGACACTTGGCCACCGAGTTTAGTCGTGGGTGTCTGCCCATATTCAAACCTAGAATCCCAGCAGTGCCACCTCAGTACTCTGACCAATGAGCTACCCCGAGAAACTCACATTATCAACCAAAAAGAATGTGTTCTGTCCCACGGTGCGGTTGTGTTTAGTTCGCTGTCCTTCCCCCGGCACCTCCGATTAGCACGCTTGGCTATGTACGGCGCGAAAGAAGTTCAACACACACACACACACGTACGGACACACCTGTGGCGTTTCATGTTGCGACTCTTCACTCCCCTCCTCCTTGGTGGTCGCGAATGCGTTCCAGCGCTGCGCGTGAAAGTCCACGCCCAGTCCCACTTTGTCGCACGTCTCCAAGGGCCTCAGGTGCGATGCCAACACAATGTCCCTGGGCAGCAGGGGTACAACGACGCATCGATTTGTCCATTAAAACAAATATTCTTAAGCTCGCAAAACATATTCTTACGCTTGTAATACTTGCACGGAATTGTACGTGTGAGAATCAATAGATTCGTATGCATTGTGTATATTTGGTTCACATGTGACCCACCTAGAGGCACGACAAGGCACCGTAATGTGAAAGTAAATTAATGTTTTGGGAATGTAATCGCTACCTAGAGCTGTGTTGCAATCCATCGAATTTTCTGGGGGGAGAATATAATTCCATGATTGTATAGAGATGTAATGTTTACTGGATAGAGATTGTGTTTTTGTCAATAAAAAATGGCTATAGAGTATAGACCCATTGCAGACTGTAAACATATTGTTCACCTGTGTGAAAGGAAAGCCTAGTTCGTGTATTTCGTTATAAATCATTTAAATAAAACATAAACGTTACTTACCAAACCATTTATACTATAGATCAATACAGTTACGCTAAATAAGTGTGTTCACTTTCAATATAAAAAAAAACAATGATGAATTTTGGGGAACATGCTTTTCACTTTTTGCAGCTTTCTTGAATTATATTCATACCAAACTCGGTACCAGAATCATTCACGCCGAGGATTGCGATGGCTATTGCAGACTCTTACCACCCCACCCATGCCAATTATCACACGTTCACTGCTTGAAACCATATCGCCGGGAATGTGATCTATCTCGTCAGTACTCAAAAGCTAAGAAGGTTTTTGAGCCTGCATAGTTCTTGGGATGGGTAAAAAGCATACATGAGAACCGTTACCTTCGGCTGCTGCAAGGCTAGATTGTCAGCAGAGGGCAGCGTACAAAAATCCATTCTCGTACTGCACTATGCTCCAACGTCTAGGCTCCCCACTGCATACCTGTGCCTACCTTATTACAGACCTATTTAGACTCGATTGGTCACCCCGTGCCGTTATAAAGCTCAACTTTCATGCTACGAAGTCCTATCACAAGGGAGAAACAGACGCAATATTTGTTTTTGCCCGCATTGAAACGGCTGTACGCAGCATGGACCTGTACAAGAATACGGGCTGCACCGTCTGAGTTGACACGGCATGCCACCGTTACCAACCCACACTGACCAGTGGCGTGAATTCCGGTCAAATAAGCCATATAACCAACATGGTGTCGGTCAGCCTTCATCCCCCAAGTAAATATATCGTGGATGATGATATGAAAATGATATATTAATTACATGTCAACGGCGAACGGTAGACTCCTGTACAGCGAGAGCAATAACACACACATCAACAAACGTAAGTGCAGGCATTCTCGAGAGTAACTAACGAAACTTCCAGGACACTCTGCCCCTGTGTGACGAGGGCGCATGACAAAAACTAAACACACGAAACGGCCCCATATCGCCAGTACCTGAACTCCTCGTAAGAGCCCACTCTCTGCGTGATGGCTCGCAGCTTGGCGTCGTTCTCACGCTCATATTTGGCATCGGCAGCCACGGCTGCCTGCAACTCCCTCTCCAGGCTCGCCCAGTCCAGCTTCTCATCGTCCATCGCCGTGGCTTTGACTGCAGAACAACAACAACAGCAGCAGGGGAGAGGGCTCTTTGCGTGGAAGCGACGCGCTCCTGCTGCACCTTTGCAGCTGCGCACGCAGCTTTGGGTCGCCACCGAACCTGGCTTTGCCGGGACATCAGATTTGTAAGGTTCTGTAGCTCTCCTGGGAAAAAAAAAGAAATGTCTTTTTGAGACGTAACAAAAAATCCCCGGTTGTTGTCAGCTGCTCGTCATAACATCGCACAAGACAATGCATGCACGTGTTTGTACGTGTTGAACTTCTTTCGCACCGTACGTCGACAAACATGCTTATCGGAGGTGCTGGGGAAGAACGACAAACTAAAAACAAACAAAAAAGCAGTTTTAAAGAAATTTAGTTCCAACGGTATTGCGATAGATTTCGTATTGCCATGGCATGTCCTGTTTTTTTTTATTTACATCAGAGGTGGCATCACCTAGAGCCACCCCTACGTGTGGATTGTGAAGGTGCCCGACGAACAGACGTGCACATTGTTGACTGCCCTTAACGGCAGCTCGAAGGTGGAATGAAAAGGTTGATTGAACTCGATGACGCGACAATCAAGTGGTTGAATTGGATATCGATCTGTGATAGCAAACGGAGTATAAAGCTGAATATATAGGGAGGGCTCTCCAGCCAATCTCTCTCCACCCCCTTGCCCCTCTCAGTTCCTGCGATTCGATAAATTGCCAGGTTTTGGAGGCCACGTTTCAATTTAACAATAGGTTAAAACATTTTGTCGAGTTTTGACCGTCACATTTGTCAATGGCCGAAATGTAACTGCATATCCCCCCTCCTTGTAGTTTGCATAAATGATAAATAATAAATTATTTCACGTTTCATTTGATGCGTGCATCTTGAGCACGGAAAAATGTAACTATATAAATCGATGTGTCCATTGCACACCGAGCCCTCTGTTTTGGGCTGAGACGGCCTCCTCGGCGCTCTGTCATGCCTTAGGGCTCTGGGAACATGACACCACTTTTCCAAGATCAATGACAGGAAATGTTTTGGCAGGATACCAGGAGACTGAGTTTCATGTAAATTGTATAGGCAAATTGAGTTTTTATTTCAGTGACATCACAAGGGAAGTTGGCGCTTCATCCAATGATGTGGCAGAAATGAAACAAAAAACAGTCCATCATCCTCATAGTCAGCCATCATCTTTCCACTGCTGGGTTCTAGGCCTCCGCAATCCACCGCCATCTCTGGCAGTCCCACGGTGCAACAATCCAAGGAGCTCCTGCACACAAACGAATTCATTGCTCCACCTCCATGTTGCACGTCCCCTTCAGCACGTTCACTCCTTTGGCTGCCACTCCGTTGTTAGGTCTCAAGCCCTGGCCATCGCCACTTCTCGTGACGTCTCGTGCCAAAGGCCACTTTTATTAACAGCCCAGTATAATAAATGCAGTCCCACTTACGTTTTATAAAACACACTACCAAATTACTCGAATTGGCAGGTAGAGAAAATATACCAAATGCAACATTTTTTTCTGGAATAGAGCAACATCTGTGGTATCTTCTCATGTCACGACATGAGGCCCAGGCTTATGAACTGAAGTTCCAAGCCATGAATACCTGGCACAGAGTTTCGGTAGCTTTCGGGTTTTTGAAATCGCTAACAGACCCTTGACAGGGCCCCCAGTTGCCTCTAAAATACTTGCACCACTGCATCCTTAAAGTAAGCTTCTTCTTTCGTACGGCTGCTGTGGATACAGAACAACTACAATTTCACATTCAGGTGGTCAAGCCAGATGAGCGTGGCAGGAGCAGCGGAGTGTACCGCTGTGATGTCTCTTTCGTATGTGTAGATTGGGCATTGCATCATTATAGAGATAGCTAATTGGGTGGCGTTTTTATGCCACAAACCAAAGGAGCTGCTCATTAGTCACCCAGGAAGGAGATCTTCCGTAGGGACACGTGGGTCCACCAAATCTGAAAAGTGAAGGGTAAGTGTAACCTCTGGAAATGCAATGTGAGTTTTTGCCATTGCTTATTATTCACTTTGAGGCATCATTTTAGGAGTTGTATGCAAAAGCATGGGGAATTTTAAGGCAGCCATGCTTACAGAGACGTCATAACAGTTAAATGATAATATTCACGAGAGGTCAGTAAAGCCTTTCTATCGAGACTATAACATGGTAAGCTAACCTGATATATATTATTGATGGCTCCGTATACACACTACCCCACAATATGTGCAAGATAATTATTTACAAAGCAGTGCAGCTGTTAGCGAAGAGGATTTATAGAACTGAGAGCCCACGCCCGCAATCAATTCTTCTCTGGCGCTAGCAAGACTGCATAGAAATTGGCGGATTGATAGTAATCTCATGGCTGCAAAGTTTCAGTGTCAATTTCCCTAACTTAGCTGGGATCATTTTATGAGCAGCTCGCACCATCCATCATGGAGACGCAACAAACTTGGGTTACCCTGATATTGAACGAACAGCACAACAGAAACATAACAGTCGAAGGAAAAAAAACATGATTAACATACTCGACTTCCCAAACAAACTAGTAATGTAAATTAAGCTCTGAATTACACGCGTGTGGCTGTGAAGTCTGGTGTTTGTCGTGCATGCAAATGAGCCACCAGTTTTCAAGAAGATGACAATTTTACACCCACAAAAGGACGTAACCAACACCTTGTTTGATGCAAAGTGCACATTAGTCCTGATATTATCATCATGATCAGCAGGTCCTTGCCTGGCACAGCTCAAATTTCCTACTCTAATTCGTTACGAAAATTTCATGCCGACTGTCTCTGTAGTTTTTAGCGACAGCTGATAACTCAAATCCATCTTGCCAACAGCAATAACGAATCTCAATGAGATCTGCCTGTTTCAAAAGTAATGGACATTCGTTCACTCGCTCATTCGTTGATTCACTTCATTCATTCAATGAACCAAAGCTGAACATCAGAGCGATGACACTGTAGACGTGGACGATGCATGGCAGCCAATAAAGAAACCACGCACAAGAGGAAGACTACAATGGAGATGGATTGTGGAATCGTAGCAGTGGTTCGACAGTGACATGATGATGAGATGTGATATGTGAACTTCATCTTCCCTGTTCTCGATTCTGTTGTAAAGTGAAAGAGTTTATCATTCCGTGACTTCCAACAAAACCCTCCGCCTGATTTTTTTACATTCTCTGCACTGGGCCCACTGATGATGATGATGACCATCTGTGGACCAGCATTGGCCAACACTTAAAGCCAAAGTGGTTCCACACTCAAATGAGAATTGACACGCATTACCTCTTTACAACCCTGAGCCAGTGGTGGGAATTCCACCATCTTATGGCAGCAGCAAGTGTACCGTTACGACAAGCAATGTTGACACCCAACAAATTGGCACCTATTTGATCGACCTCTGAAGATTCAACCCCGATACATTGTATTACGCTTTATATATTTTAAAAACCATCTCATTCACTCTCTTTCATAAAATGGGGGCACCGTGGGGGCACCGTGGAGGCGAGGGTCGGTGGATCACACAAATGTTACGAAACTCCCTTCCCGTGGGCGTCAAGGTGGTGGTGGTGGCAGGAGAGCACAGCGCAGCAAGTGTGGACGGACTCTGTTCCACCTGGAAGGGATAGAGTGTTGTCCTATCGCTCGCATCGGCTTTCTCTGGGTACTCCGGTTTCCTTCCACGCGTATCACGCTCTCCATTGCATATCCTCCCTGTGGTCGCGTACATTTACGTCCTCCGGGTTTTCCCTCCAAGACGAGAATTTCTAGCGAATACGGAGGAGGGCTTCTCGGTCCTTCACGCCTCCACTGATGTCCTCTTCACCCCCCTCGTGTGCAGGCACTAACGGGTTGTACCTCAAAAGTTCATCAGATACATTTTTAAGTTTAGCGCCAAATGGGTCCTCTTGGATTTCCTGATATTTTGAAGCGTCTGATGCGAAGAGAAATGTTTGTTTTTTTCCTCTGAAGGTGTTTGACTCGCGAGTACTGATGCGCAGTGCTATTTAAAAAAGAGCAACGCCTGTTAACCAGCAGCCCTGACCAAACTAAACCGACCAGTCAGTCAGAGACATGTCTTAACAGCGGTGGGGGGACAGGTATAGTGCAATATATGCCTACAAAATAAATCTGGACTCTATGTAGAGTGTGTAGACATATTTGCCTACGAAAGAAATGTACTTTTTTTTGGGGGGGGGGGGGGGTCACAATTGTTGTAAACCTCCATAAAAGAGTTTTTTTGGGGTTAGATCGCGTGGATATATAAATGTGTCGTTAAAACCCGACACAGCCAACTAGTAAGGGTTGCCACGTAAACAGAACGTGGCCAATTCGTCACAGGTACAGCACACAAGGTGTGTTGGAGAGCCAAGCCACAACATTTACAATCCGAGTACGACGTTTCGGCAGTAATTACAACTGGCTTCATCAGGCGACAGCCTCTATTATGGATGATATTTTCTATAACTTTTTTTGTTTCAGACCTTCTGAAAGGCTCTTAATACTTTAGTTAACGGACAAACGGAACGCCGGACTTTTTATAATAATGAGTTTAGATTATTTAGAGTATTTGGCTGCTATAACATTTCCACGTGATGATAAGCCACTTCGTTGAGCTATCATTTGCGATGGCCAGGTCGCTTCTGAAAAATAGCTTTACAGCTGTGGGCCTTACCTGGTTAAATATAAAACAAGTTTTAGTTTAGACTGTCTTCACGTTCCCATTGCTCCTTAGTCGTCCGCTCTCCCTCTCTCTGTCTTCGAGATTGAGCAAATGCTGAGTCGGCACGTTACAAGTACGACAATACTCTTAACAATAATAACCATCATCATCAAGGAAAGTGCGACAAAAGAAAACCCCAAAATGGAACTGCAAGCCTTCGACTCTCGGCTCCGCGAATCACGGATACGAACGCGCGTTGCAAGCCTCGCAAATGATTCGCATAAACACTCGTGAAGCGAGTGTTCGTAAGGGGGCGAACCATCACCAACGTGCCGATATTGACGACGGTATTTGTTTAGTAACACTCGTCGTGTCGGTGATAACTAAACCCCGTTTCGTCAGCGAAAATTGGTTCTCGGTTTCACTGCAAACTCACCACGGCTGCTTCCGCGTCCTCCGTCTCCACGGCAACGGTGGATTATAAACCGCGATGGGAAGCCGATAAACTTGAACATTTTACTGCTAGTTTTCTACTCCTCGTAAGTTGACCGCAATTAAGCGATTATTGTTGTTTGTGTGTGTTGGTGCAAGTAAATAATATAGCGTTGGTTTTTAAAAAATATATATAAAATTGTTGTTAAGTTTATAGATTCAACTATTTCCGGCGGTCAGAGGGCAACGGTGGGGTTTTAAAAATGGCGTGGCCCAGTGCCGCCCCCACGTGGCTCCGCGCTTCAATTGCCTCGAACGTTTGCGGATTGCTTTTAGGGAGCGGTCGCCAAAGTTCCTTCATTTAGCTTCGGTGAACGAGTGTTGTCCAAGCAAATAAACCATAATTGTTAAAGTGGTTCTAAAATAATGAAAATTCTAAATAATTTAGGATTTTTTAATTGATACGAGATACTTATAGATTGGTTTTAAAGGAGTCGCTATCTATTCTAAAATGTACCTGAGATTAGGTGGGTTAATGAACCCACACAAAAGTGCTGTACTTTATCATTCTGTACATAGAGAATAGCACCCAATATATCGAATGCAACTAGTTTGAGTAACGCATCACTTGGTAATCTCAAGTTCACTTTGTGGGGACTACATTTGAAAATATATACATTTCGAATGGTTTAATTGTAAATACTATGCAATTAGTGAATGTTTTAATCACTTTTGAATTTGTTCATTGTAATACAAATAAAATGTATAGGATGTAATACAAAATTCTATGTATGCTGTAATGCTTATGTACACACTGATAAATACTGCTTGTGGATGCTTTTTTTGTATCACGGTTCCTGTCCACGCCCAATGGGGGTGGGGGGGGTGTACAAAACGCCAATCGGTCGGCAAGGAAGAGGGCTATTCAAGTTGTAAGAGAGAAGATGCGTCACATTGTAGCATGCGACCAGTGTGCGCAGTGCAAATGAGCACCGTTCAATTTTTTAATTTTCCCAGGAAGCGATTCCTCGACGCGGCTCAGACGAGTCCAGTACGGCGCCAGGTAAGAAGCGTCGCATCGATCACTAAAACGCACAAGTTGTTGGAAACGATGCGTTGCGTTGCAGTTCCATGTCGCAAGCCCCCCCCCCCACACTGCTGTGTTTTCGGTCGTAATAGTTTTTGGATCATAACTTCGTCACTCTGGTCGATGCCGGTTGGCGAAGGGTCGATTGATTACATTTTCGGTACTGTAATTTTGGCTCGAATTTTGTCACCTGCAGGTTTATTTGAAGTTCATTCACTGCTTTTTAATGCCTCCACTGTAAGGCTGATTGCATCGGTAGGATACGTTTTTTAAGGACGTGTACAATAATGTGTTTTTATCGATTTTGCAAGGTCATTGCCACACCCTATGACCCGTGACATTTTCTTGTAACGAAGTAATTAGGCTGTGAATTGCATCTCCACCCAAGTCGATGCTTTTATTATTTTGTAACTTTTCTTTCACAAAAGCACTGCTAATACGCTCCAGTATTGCGTTAAGTGCGAGTTTGGGTGTGCATGTCATTCATGTTGGCCATGCCTCCACAGACAATGAGCCACGTGGTGTGCACGCGACAGTTACATGCTGGGGTTTAATGTAGAAATACAGTTCTGCTGTGCAAGTGTCGTCTCATTCACTGCGTCCTAAATACATTTAACGTATAATAACAAGGTCATGTCATTACAGTGCAGCGTTTGCCTTATTCTTAAATGGTATCTTGTTTATTTTAACTTATAGTACGCGGTATGTTTTTATCAATCTGTAAGGTTGTTAAACATTTTTCACGGTTAAACAACACTTCGTTGTGAGAGGAAAAAAAACGCCTATGGGAAAATCGGTGATGGCTACACAAATTGCTCATGGAAAGTTTGCATTGAGTTGGTGTGCTTTGCGGTGCACAATTTTTACATCCCCAATGCACCTTGTGTTTATTTTGTCAATGTTCCAACTCGGTAACCAATGAATGCGAAGTTGGCATGTGTCCACACGTTACATGGAGGCGGGTGGGGTGGCGTGGGGCCGATTCAAGTAACTCATCCAGCTCTAGTTTCTGTAGTTTGTCTAAAACATGAAAAAAAAAACGAATCTAATTCATAAATCGTTAATTCATTATCTAAACTGGGAGGGCGATTACATACATGTTAACCCATATGGTTTACCCGTAATTCTTGTACATGGAAATTTAGTAAAACAAATGTTTTGTTGTCCTATTTGTGTTTCTCCCTTGTGATGGGACTTTGTAGGATGAACGTTGATATTTATAAGGGCACGGCGGGGTGACCAATAAGTTCTGAATTGGTCTGTAATAAGGTAGGCATTGATAAGGAGCTTGACAGGTATGCGATGATTTGGGCCAAGATCATTGTAGTGCATACACACACACTAACTAGGACCCCAAAGTGGTTTAGTTTTTTCACGACCAAAGACCCCCAATGTGAGATGCCCCGCAGCGCTCAAGTGCACTGTACTGAGGACACACAACTCGCATGGTTCTCACTCATTTCCCCCGTTAATGCCCCCAAAAAACCTGGAATTTTCATCACTGACAAAAATGTTTATGCTTACGTTCCCATAATTAATTTCTTTATGACAACTTCACTTGCAGTTGAATTTAACTCGCATCCTTGTCGGTTTACATATTTGTACAATGGTCACCCTATATCTCTTTAATGTTTCTTTAACTTCATTGCATACCCTGTGAGCAGTCTAAAAATAATCCGCCCGAGACGATTTGTGCTACAGATCATGTATTGCTTAACATAAATTCACGTTTGTGTAATACAGTGAGGGAAAAAAAAATATTTGATCCCCTGCTGATGTACATTTGCCCACTGACAAAGAAATGATCAGTCTATAATTTTAATGGTAGGTTTATTTGAACAGTGAGAGACAGAATAACAACAAATAATCCAGAAAAACGCATGTCAAAAATATTATGAATTGATTTGCATTTTAATGAGGGAAATAAGTATTTGACCCCTCTGCAAAACATGACTTGGTACTTGGTGGCAAAACCCTTGTTGGCAATCACAGAGGTCAGACGTTTCTTGTAGTTGGCCACCAGGTTTGCACACATCCCAGGAGGGATTTTGTCCCACTCCTCTTTGCAGATCTTCTCCAAGTCATTAAGGTTTCGAGGCTGACGTTTGGCTACTCGAACCTTCAGCTCCCTACACAGATTTTTTTTTATGGGATTAAGGTCTGGAGACTGGCTAGGCTACTCCAGGACCTTAATGTGCTTCTTCTTGAGCCACTCCTTTGTTGCCTTGGCCATGTGTTTTGGGTCCTTGTCATGCAGGAATACCCATTCAAGACCCATTTCCAATGCCTTGGCTGAGGGAAGGAGGTTCTCACCCAAGATTTGACAGTACATGGCCCCGTCCATCGTCCTTTTGATGCGGTGAAGTTGTCCTGTCCCCTTAGCAGAAAAACACCCCCAAAGCATAATGTTTCCACCTCCATGTTTGACGGTGGGGATGGTGTTCTTTGGGTCATAGGCAGCATTCCTCCTCCTCCAAACACGGCGAGTTGAGTTGATGCCAAGGAGCTCCATTTTGGTCTCATCTGACCACAACACTTTGACCCAGTTGTCCTCTGAATCATTCAGATGTTCATTGGCAAACTTCAGACGGGCATGTATATGTGCTTTCTTGAGCAGGGGGACCTTGCAAGCACTGCAGGATTTCAGTTATTCACGGCGTAGTGTGTTACCAATTGTTTTTTTGGTGACTGGTCCCAGCTGCCTTAAGATCATTGACAATATCCTCCCGTGTAGTTCTGGGCTGATTCCTCACCGATCTCATGATCATTGCAACTCCACGAGGTGAGATCTTGCATGGAGCCCCAGACCAAGGGAGATTGACAGTTCTTTTGTGGTTCTTCCATTTGCGAATAATCGCACCAACTGTTGTCACCTTCTCACCAAGCTGCTTGGCAATGGTCTTGTAGCCCATTCCAACCTTGTGTAGGTCTACAATCTTGTCCCTGACATATTTGGAGAGCTCTTTGCTCTTGGCCATGGTGGAGAGTTTGAAATCTGATTGATTGCTTTTGTGGTC